CATATCAAGTGATTGTATGTCCTTAGTTGAGTTGTAACTTTGTTAATGTTCTTACTTGTAATTTCTACTTAGCTTACTTAGAACCATTGTGCAGGAAACTCTTATAAATCATAAACCCACGTGTTTATGTCTTGGCTAGAGTTAGTCAAGTTGTAAAGTCTTTGTAATAGAGGTATTACAAAGTGGCTTGTAATAGGTGTGTTACAAGTTAGTGAGGGATTACGGTGTTAATTCCTAGGTTACAATAGGTTGTAATCTAAACGCTTTGCTTAGTATTGAAGTTGAAATCCTACAAGGGTAAGTCGTGATTTTTGATCCCGTTGAATTGGAAATTTTCCACGTAAAAACTCTCCGTGTTATTTACTTTTTGCTGTGTTTGCATAATCTGTGAAAACCGATAGAGAACCTGGTTCTCTATAGTGTTTGGTGGACCCTAGAATTCAATCAATGATCTTCATCTTTCTACAATATAACTGTCAAATTTGAATTGCACTAACAGGAAAGCACATTAAATGTGTCTACTGCGATCTAGTTTGTTGAAATATTTGGATATATAACACATCAAATGTTTCTACTACGGTCTAGCTTATTGAATTATTTGGATATATATATATATATATATATATATATATAGCACATCAAATGTGTCTACTACGGCCTAGCTTGTGGAAATATTTGGATAGCATAAGATGAACCAATTAGTTATTAGTGTTCCATATATACTAGATGAAGGCTCTGAGCTCAGTTAATCAGGATTCGATTTCTTTAATTTTCGCAAGAAAATTAATTAGGTGGTCTATTGCTTTTAAAAAACAAATTTGCTCACAGTACCACAAAATTAAACTAGTTTGCCTTCTAGTGGTCTCCTATTTGCTAGAAACTACGGCTGTTTTTATATATCTAAGTATGTTTCCAAATAAACGACGTGTCTAATATAATAAAAACTCAATCTTGTACTCCTTTCAAAATTAAATAAAAACTTAGATCATCTTATCTTACCTGTGCTCATTTTCGTTTTGAAAGTTTCATATGTTGGGTTTCCAATTAGATAAAAAGGTATATTTGGTTAAAGGATCGATGGTTTTTAATCCAAATCCGGCTAAAAACAAAAAGAAGAGATTAAGGAGATAAAAATAGACAAGCACTTGCGCGATTGACATGTCTCTTTTTTTTAAAAAAAAATTAAACAGCCTTATTGTGGCGGTTTGTAAGACAATGACCCTTACATTGTATATTAAAGACTAAAAAAAAGAATACATAAAGGAGGATAACGTAAAACCGAACATCCTCAATATAATTTGGATACACGGGCGGATCCAGCCTATTACACGTGTGTTCTCGGGAACCCAGTAGCTTTTGTATATACTATGTATATATATTACAAAATTTATTAAATATCCATAAATATTTGATTGTGAATTCATTTACTTATTGTATATTTATTTAAGGTCGCTATAGGAACCCATAAACTTTAAATTCTGGATCCGCCTCTGTTTGGATACAATTTAAAATATCCAAAGACTAAAAAAGGAAAAATAGGAAAGCTTGTATAAATAGATCTGTCCTTGTCTCACAAAAATATGTCATTCAAATGTACTAAAAGATCTCACTAACATAAATAGCAGCATAATGTAGCAAATACAAACACTTAAATGTGAATAAATGCTTTATTCAATCATGCTCACGTAGGGAAGAAAATAACAATGAGTGTTCCTATTCATTATGAGTGTTCCTATTCATTATTTTGTTTTATTTCCGAACCTCGCGTATAACGGGAGCTTATCGAATTGCCCTTTTAACGTATTTTAGCTTGAATTTGAATTAACAAGATAGATAGGGGTAGATAACATATCAAATCCATTGAACTTAGTTCCTCCACATATTGAATATGCGCCCATGTTATAAAACACTATCAGATCATCCAAATGAAGCTCGGGCAATTTTATGTCAATAGCCACTGCATCAAGTGAGTCACAACTTGGTCCATAAATAGTTGACTCACATATTTGACAAGATTTTTCTTCAACCTGACGTAAAAATGGCTTAATACCCACAAAACAACTATTGTAAAGCGTTGGCCTAAATGATCCATAAATCCCTTCATCAATCCAATACTCTATTTTCTCACCTCTAACTCTTTTACCAATCACATGAGTGACTAAAGTAAAGGCCGTTTCTGCAAAAAACCGCCCTGGCTCTGCAAATAATGTTAAGTTGGGCAAGGGTAAATAATCTTGGACTGCTTTTTTTACTACACTAGCTATTTCCTCGAACAATGGTGTCGATCTAAATCCTCCACCAATGTCTAAAATTTGCATTTTAGGCATTCGAAGATGATCAGCAACATCAAACACGGTCCTAGCAGCTGCAATCGCCTCGCGATAAATGCTGGGATCTTGTGCTATAGATCCAACGTGAAATGAAACGCCTACAACTTTTAGCCCGACCATATTACAAGCGTAATGCAGTAGTGGCTCAACTTCTTCTGGTAACGCGCCGAATTTTTTTCCCAGGGGACGTAACGAGCCACTATCACTAGGGGCTTTAATTCGAAGCAATAAATGACATTGTGGGTGCCATTTCTTGATCTTGTCAATTTCAAGTTTTGAATCAAAAGTTGTGAGATTGACCCCAACATTGGCTGCGTATTTAATGTGGGAAATAGCTTTGCATGGGTTAGCAAATATGATTTGGTTGGGGCTAATTCCGAGATTTAAGACGGTCTCGATCTCTAGTTGGCTAGCACAATCAAAATTTGCACCCAATTTGGCTAGTTTAGTAAGAAGTGCAGGTTCACTGTTGCATTTCACAGCATAGAAAGGTTTTATATTTGGAAAAGAATGGTTCCATTTGTCCATAACCCTTTCAATTATAGCCAAATCAAGTAGATAAAATGGCTGGCCAGCTTCATGGTTCTCTGCAATTGAACGGATTAAATCTGGCATCCCATCTTTTGGTATTTTGTGAACATGACTCTTACCAAAAGCTGTAGACAATAACATGATCAAGAAATATATTAAGAAGGAGGAGAAATATTTTATTAGCTGAAAATATGAAGTAAAAGTATAAGAGCACTGGAAGTTAGCGTCTCCTCTCTCCTTTATATAGAAAGCCAATGCCTAAAATATCTCATATTGTATTAACGTTCCAAGATCATCACTTAATTGAAAATTTAACAAATTGCATACATCCACTAGCATCTCGTGGTGAATGACGTAATCGCACCTAAGTGAAATAATATCGTCTTTATTTTTTTGGTAACGTTAGGTGATCAGATAGAGTTTTTGGCTTATTTTATTGAAAACCAAATAACTGAAATTTTTTAGAATGTCTTTGAACCTTTCTTTCTAAATTTCCAGTTCTAGATTAATTGAGTGTTTAATTTTTTAAAACAATGTTAATCTCAATGTTATAGGGCTTACATCAAGGGCCGTAGAGCTAGAGTTAAGTGTATGGGTTAATTAAGGGAATAAGGCAGATTCAATAATTTTGATTCAAATTATGTTTTTGTCTTAAAAATTTACTTATTAAACGGGTAAAAATTATTAATTTAGAATCTATCTATTATTAAAAGGAGAGGAAAAAACCCTCTCCTTAAGCCAAGTGCCAGCATAGAAAAAGGTCACAGGGTATAAGTAGTTAATAATTAGTTATTGGTTATTATTTTTGAATTTAAAATATTTATAAAATAATAAAATAAAATATTTTATAAAAAACAAAAATTAAAAAAAAATGTCCATTCAAATTGGAGAGTAGTTTCAAGTTGGAGTTTTTAAAATATTTTAAAATAAAAAACTACCAATTCAAAATTTCTTTGTTTTTCTAATAACTGTTGTTTTTCTTTTTAAAAATAAAAGTTTATTTATTCAAAAACTATTATTGAGAATAATAGAATAAATATAAAAAAAATATCTTCTGTTATATTATAAAAATAAAGTAGCATACAAAAATTTAAGTAAAGTAATATGCTAATAAAAGTTTCTATTAACAATGCAATAATACTAAATATTAGATAATATAATTACGAAAAATACAGAACAAAAAAGTTATTTGGTGCCTATATAAGTCTCTTTAATTTAATAGAGATTTTATTCGTTAAAATTTAGACAATATTATTGAGAAAATTAGAATAAAATTTAAAATAAAAAAATATTTCAAGAGTAATAAAATATATATCTTCTATTATACTACAAAAAAAAAGTAGTAGACAATATTATTAAACAAATTAATATGCTAACACAAATTTTTATTAACAATGTAAGAATACTAAATATTGGATAGTATAATAAAGAAAAATATAGATAAAAAAAGTAATTCAATGATTATATTAATTTAATATAAATTTTATTCGTTAAAATTCATACAATATTATTAACAATATTAGAATAAAATTTAAAATAGAAAAATATTTCAAGAGTAATAAAATATATATCTTCTATTATATTACAAAAACAAAGCGAGCAAATAAAAATATTAAATACAGTAAAATGCTAATAAAATTTTTTATTAACAATTTAAAAATACTAAACATTAGATAATAGAATAAAGAAAAATATAAAAAAAAAAAAAAGTTATTCAATAACTATATAAGTTCCTTTAATATAATAGAGATTTTATTATTTGGTATATCATATTGGCAAATAAGACGACAATTGAAATTTATTAAAGCAAAAAGATCTATTTGGTGTAGAGACTCAAGGAAATCAACCAAGATCGAAGTGCATAAAGAGAAACAATCAAAGCTAAAGGAAGAAATCAATCAAAGAATGATTGAAGCATTCAAAAGGAAAAGAAGCACTGAGAACCCGACGAGATAATCAATCCGAGATTGATTGAAGAGTTAAAAAGGAAAAGAAACATTGAAGATCCGACAAGATAATCAATCAGTAGCTATTATTGGAAGGACCCGGAATTAAGGAGCAAATCCGGCGCTATCAAGACTTAAAAATGGAAAGCTATCAAAGTTTTAACCTTATTCTTGGAAAGAACCAATTTCTTTCCAAGGATCAAATCTCTTGGGTTGGCAAATCTCTTTAGTAACGGTCTCCTACAAAGTATTTTTACGCAACCTTAAGTCTTAGAGATACATACTTTGATCAAACCAATTACCCTCTCTTTGTTCTACTTCAAACAAACATTGTAGCTCTACTAGATCTGTTGTGTAACAAGTTAGAGAAGAAAAAGAGAAAAATATTGGTGAGGCATTGTATTAAGAAAAGACGAGTGACATAAAAACTGAGTTGTTGGTGTAAACTATACCATTCACTTTGTACTCAAGAAACTCAATCACTGAAAGAGAACTCCCTTGCAACCCAAGAGGACTGGACTAGGATTCATATTGAATCTGAATCAGTATAAAAACTCTGGTGTCTTTAATTCCTGCACTTTACTTCTGCATTTTAATTCTACACTTCTTATTATCTCTCTATTACATTTAGTCGACTAATTAGAAAACCAGTCAACTTATAATAATTAATTTTAAAATAAGCAATCCCCCCGCACCCTCTTGTACCTTCAATTGGTATCAGAGCTTGGCTCACATTTTTCTTTTGCTTAACAGCTTGTGAGAAAAAATCATGGCTAATCAAATTATTGTTGGAGGACTCTTCCAAGAAGGAACATAGCAAGTAAGGCCACCATATTTCAATGGATAATATTTCTCTTACTGAAAAGTGTGTATGGAAATATACGCAAAATCTTATGATGTGAAGGTCTAGCGAGTTATCAAAAGGGGAAACTATCTTCTGCCGGCTGCTGCTCAACCACCTGTTGATCCTGAAGATATAGATGAATATACTGATGAACAAATGGCAGTTGTGCTAGTTAATACTAAAGCAAGGAATCTGCTTTATAATGCTATAAGTGATGAGGAATATGAGAAAATCTCCAATTGCGATACAGCCAAAGAGATGTGGGATAAACTTGAAGTTACTTACGAAGGAACCAGTAAAGTGAAAGAAACCCATATCAACATGTTGGTTCATGACTACGAACTCTTCCAGATGAAAAAAGGAGAATCCATTGAAGAGATGTTTGTCAGATTTAGCAAAATTATTAGCAATCTAAAAGCTTTTGGCAAACCATACTCAAGTGGTGATCAAGTTAGAAAAATTTTGAGAAGTCTACCCACTACTTGGCGACAAAAGTGGTTACACTTGAATCACAGGATTTGAACAAATTATCATAGATGAACTTCGAGGAGAACTTATAGCCTTCGAGAAAGCTCATCTCAAGAAAACAAACCAAGAAGAAAATAGTTGCTTTCAAGGCTACAACTGAAAGAGCAGACAATGATATTGATGACGACCCTGAAGATCTTCAAGAAAAAATTACCATGGTGTCAAGGAACATGGATGGTTTAATGAGGAGATACAGGAATACAAGAAGAGGCACGATACCACCCAGGCGAACTAGGCAATATAACGAACAGGACAAAAATAATGGCAAATGCTATGAGTGTGGAAGATTTGGGCATGTTCAAGCTGAGTGTCCTGATCTTAAAAGAAAGGTTTCCAGAGGTTTTAACAAGAACAAAACATTTGGAAGTTGGAGTGATGAAGACAGTTCAGAACACGAAGAGATAGCAAATCTATGTTTCATGACAATTCTGGAAAACGACATGAACAAACTCTGAGGGTGCTGGACAGATGAGGATACTTCAGATGACGAATGCAAAGATGACAATGAGAATTATTTCATGGCGCGAGGTAAGATCTTATAACTATGAAAAATGTAATGAATTGCAGGATATTCTTCACCTTACTTTGAAAGAGTCTCAAAAAATGATGAATGAACTAAAGAGACTCAACAAAGAAGTAAAAGACTGGAAACTAAAGCTTGAAGTATGCAAAATTGAAAAAGAAGTACTTCAAGATGAGTTTCAGGAATTGCAAATGCAACTCAATGGCATGCGCAAATCTACCAGTCATAGTTCTGTCAAGTCGAACCAGGCGACTTACAAGTCAACTGGAGAAGGACCAGCCAGAACAGAGTCCACTAGTACTAACACAAATAAAAGATCCAAAAATGGATCAGGACTTACGTGTCACTACTGTAACAAAAGTGGACGTAAATATTCTTTATGTCGATTTCGTAAATTAAATGTCTCATGATGGATTTAGAAACCTAAAAACAATCCTGAGTCCAGTAATACTAACCAACAAGGACCCAAGCAAGCTTGGGTACCTAAAAGGAAGTGATAATTATGTTTTTTAGGAACTCCACAGAAGGAGTCGCAAAGGAAAATGGTACTTAGATAGTGCGTGTTCCAGTGACATGACATGTGACAAAAACCTGTTTAAAGAAGTTACAAAAATAGACGGAGGAAGTGTCAAATTTGGTGATGACTCAAAAGGAAATATAGTCGGTACCGGAACAGTTCCTTTCAATAATAACTATGATATCATTGAGTTTTATCTTGTTGACGAACTTAAATACAATCTTCTGAGTATAAGTCAGCTATGCGACTCAGGGTATGAAGTAAAGTTCAAGAAAACAGGTTGTGCTATTGAAGATAAGACAGGTAAAATAATTCTCCCAGGTAAAAGGTATGGAAATGTCTATATTCTTGATGGTTTTGAAAATATAGATGGTCATATTTGCTTAACATCCATATCTGATGATCCATGGTTATGGCATAAGAAACTTGGTCATACAAGCATGCATATGATAGAGAAACTTTCCAAGCATGATTTAATTATTGGTTTACCTAAACTCAATTTCTCTAGAAATCATGTATGTGATGCATGTCATATTGGTAAACAAACTAGAAACTCTTTCAAAAATAAAGATATTGTATCTACTTCAAAGCCATTGCAATTGCTTCATATGGACTTATTTGGACCCACTAAAACTGCTAGCATAGGAGGAAAATGATATGCCTTTGTTATTATTGATGATTACTCATACTTTACTTGGGTGATTTTTCTATCTCACAAAGATGAAGCTCTAAACAATTTTAAGATCTTTTGTAAAAAGGTTGAAAGAGAAAAGGGGTATCTTATTACAACAATTCAAAGTGATCATGGAGGAGAAT